TCATAACCATCCACACTTCCAGGTCACCTTCCCCCCCATGCAGCATCCTTGCTTCCAATTCACTGTGATGAGTGACAGTGCAGCCAAAAGAGTGTCCACAAACACTCTCTGCCACCACACTGCCTGCCAGCCTCTGGGCCACTCTTCTTCCCATGTTAGATAGTGAGGCCAGGTCCAAGCTCCTAGCAAGCCCCCCCTGCCCTGGCACCTCACATCTGGTCCTTCCTGGGCATCCCACGCACTCTAGGAATATCATGCCAGCATCACCTACCGTTCCCTACAGGTTCCTCAATCATGCTCCTTGATCAAGCATTTTGAAAGCTCTGATTGTATCCACTGTCTCCATTCCCATTCTCTCCATCTCTCCCCCTGTTCTCTCTTAAAACCCTCTCCAGGCAGACTTTTTTCAAAACTGTCTTGCCAAGGTGGCTGGTGGCCTCCACCTTGTACGTCCGGTGCTCAGACCTCATTCCCCATCTTGCCTGACCCGTGGCGGCAGCGGCAGGCACCCAGCCACCCCCCCTCCTCCTGGGTTCATCCCTCACTCCCCCCGAGCATCCAGGGCCTCTCCCCGCTGGGATTCCTCCCATCCCAGAAGCTGCTTCTCCTCCTTCTCCTCTGCTGGCCCGTTCTCTTCTCTGGCCTCCTCCCGGTGGGGCACCTGGCTCAGCCCTCAGACACATCCATGGGACTTCACCCCTCAATGATCTCCTGGTTGGTGCCCCTTTGCATGCCTTCTGCATGCTGCCAGCTCTGCACCAGCTGGGGTTCCTTCCCTGAGCACCACACTCGTCCAAAGCCAGCTCAAGAGCCCCCTGTGGATTGCTAGTAGACATTCCAGACTTTCGATGGTCAAAGTTGAGCTCCAGCTCTTTTTCCCTAGTCCTGCTCCACCCGAGGTCTCCCCATCTCGTACAAGGGCAACTCATCCTTTCTGAATGCTCAGGTCAAAAGCCTAGAGTTCCCCAGACTCCTCACCTTCTCTCAGTTCTTCATTGGATCCATCAGAAAATGCTGTTGGCTCTACATTCAAAATATAATGGAATCACGCCTATAATCACAGTACTTTAGGAGGTCAAGGCAGGAGGATCGCTTGAGCCCAGGAGTTCAAGACCAGCCTGAGCAACAAAGCAAGACCTCGTCTCTAGAAAACACCAAAAAATTAGCCAGGCATGGTGGTGCACACCTGTAGTCCCAGCTACTTAGGAGGCTGGAGCAGAAGGAACCCCTGAACCTAGGAGGTTGAAGCTATGGTGAGCTGTGATTATGCCATTGCATTCCAACCTTTGTGACAGAGCAAGACCCCAACACTCACACACTCTCTCTTTGTAAACACACACACACACACACACACACACACACACAGAGAGAGAGAGAGAGAGAGAGAGAGAGAGAGAGCCAAAAAAAGGTATATACATTCTAAGAAAGGAAACAGCTGTATTAAAATTGGAATACTCAATATATACTGATAACAAAAGGTGAATGCAAATCACATTTGACTTCTGCAATTACAAGAGATGCTCACAGTGGTTACCACTAACATCCAGACACTTCTGATTATGGTGAATTTAAAGTAATACATAGATAATATATCTTAAAGTGTGTATACATTTTTTGTGGTCCCCTGGTAATATATATATATATACCGTACATAAAGCCAGGGGATGGCCGGCCTAGAGCAGGCTAAGGTGTTTAAACAAGATGGTATGACAAAGTACCCTATATATAGGGGGAACCCAAAAATGGAATTATTATTTTGGAGGGCGGGCCTTTGTAGTACCGGCTTCCCCCGCTAGGTAAGTGTTCTAAGAACCCATTGGCATCAGTGTATCAGCTAGTGTTGTTGTGAGAAGCTGCATTCAGCTTCAGTGAATTTTTTTGGAGATTCTTTCAGCATGTTTGCCCATTTCATGATGGGTAATTTACAAGTGCACCTGCACACATAGCGCTGAGTGGTCAGCTATTTTTGACCAAAAAAACCTGACATGACTCCCATGCTCCACCCTCCCTATTCACCCGACCTCACCCTGAGCAACTTTTGTTTTGTTTTGTTTTCCTGAAGGAAAAAAGTCCTTAAAGGGAAGTATTTTGCCGATATGAAAGAGGTGAAAGTAAAAATGGCAGCAGTGCTATAAGGCATCAAAATTTACAAGTTCAAAAACTGTTTTGAGCAGCAGAAAAAGCATTCTGATAGATGTATTGCCTCAAACAGAGAGCACTTTAGAGGTGATTGAAGTTTAAACATGGAAGAATAAATACACAATTTTTTATAAATAAATTCTGAGTTTTGGGTCGAGTGTGTGTGTGTGTGTGTGTGTGTGTGTGTGTGTGTGTGTGTGTGTGTGTGTGTATGCTGAATCCAACTGTTCCTCGTGCTTCCACCTGGTCACCTGGATTGTGGCCATGGGCTCCCTGCTCTACCCCACACCTGGGGGTTTAGGCTCAACTGCCAGGTCAAAGTGGTCGCCTCAAAGTATGGTGAGACTAACACCCTCCAATCGCCCCCTCTTCCTCCAAGCATGTCCTACAAGAACCTCTGGCAGTCTGGGTTCTGACAGCACAAACACCCTTCCCTCCTGAGTCCACTCTTCCCCCTGAGCTCACTCTGGCCTCTGCTGCTTCCCAAACTCTCCAGGGGGAGCTGAGCTCCTGCCTGGTTGTCTCCTCTGCCTAGTCACTGCCCCACAGGGTGAGTGCCCCATGTCCTCCCCTGCCTCAGGTTTTTCTGTATGTCACCTACATTGCCTAAGAGGCTTTGTTGCACCACCTTGTTTAAACATCACAACCTGTCCCAACCTTGCTACCCCCGGCTTTATTTTAGAGTTCATGATACTCACCACCCTGTACTAGACAAAGCAGTTTGCCTCTCCTGAAAAAGTGGTCCAAATTCAAAGATCATAAGGAAGCATTTTCAAATGTGGATAGAGGAGGGAAATGGGGTAAGATTTGGTGGTTCACTAAGCTGGAGGATGGTGGATTCATTTTCTTTTCTTTTCTCTTCTTTTCTTTTTTTTAATTTTATTTAACTTATTGTATTTTCCAGAGTGGCACCTTGAATGAACCACTCTGGCCTGGCAGTTGAGCATAGACCCTAAGTCTGGGGCAGAGTAGGGAGCCCATGGCCACAATCAAGGTGACCAGGTAGAAGCACAAGGAATGGTCGGATTCAGTATATTGATTAAAAAATTGCTTATTCTTCCATGTTTAAACTTTAGTCACCTTCAAATTGCTCTCTGTTTGATGCAACACACAATAAGAATTAGAAACAAAATAACCTGAGTTCTCCCAGAAAAATAGGAAATTCAAAATGCTAGGATTCACTGAAAACAGGAGCAAAATGTCAGTAGAAAATATTGCGTGGGCAAAGAACTTCTCATGCTGGAGGCAATCCAGAGAAATAGTGCAGAGAGACAAAGCAGCCATGAGGGTTGTAGGTGGTTTCAAATGGGGTTTTCCAAGACCTTTCCTTTTGTGAGATGAATTTCCCCTCAGGGAAATCGATCATGAGCTGTTCCAGTGAGAATTTCCATGACCTTCATCTCTCTGTTTCTCATTCACTTCCTCTGTCCTCCTCACCTATTCCTACCTGACACACCCACTGTGGGGGCTTCACCCACCCCCCGCTTCCTATTCCAGAGCCTGGAGCTCCCACTGTTTCAGTTGCTACCATCTTCCCCTCAGTTGTCCCGGAGATCCACCCCAGGGCACTTTTCCTGATTCCTGGGAAAGCAGCCACTTCCTCATCACCCACAGCTCCTTCCACTAAAGCCATCTACTCCTTCCCTGCATGTCACCATAGTACTCCAGTGTGACTGTCCACTGTTTGTTCATTTCTACACCCCAGTACGTCCATCTGCACACCCCTGGCTGTATTAGGATGGGAGTCTAAGAGGATAGTGCATTGATCTGGGATCCTGAGAGAGACAGAGACAGAAAAATGCAGAGAGTGACAAAGAGATAGAGACAGAGAGAGACAAAGATGGAGACAGACACAGAGAGACAGAGGTAGAGATACAGAGACACGGAGAAAGAGAGACAGAGAAAGAGATGGATAGAGACAGAGACAGAGAGATGGAGCGAGAGACAGAGAGATAGGGATGGATAGAGAGAGGGATAATGAGAGAGACAGAGATAGACAGAGGGAGACAGAGAAATGGAGAGAGAAACAGAGAGATGGAGAGAAGATAGAGACAGCGACAAAGAGAGAGAGACAGAAATAGAGACAGAGAGAGAAAGACGGAGAGAGGCAGAGACAGAGAGAGGCAGAGACAGATTTATTTTAAAGAATTGGCTCAAGATTTTGAACCTGACAGGACCAAAATTGCGCAGGCAGGCCAGAGGACTGGAGACTCAGAAAGAGTTGGCGCTAAGCTCAGGTCTGGAGGCAGAATTCCCCCTTCCTTGGGGAACCTCGTTCATTCCTGCACCCCAACTATGTCCATCTGCACACCCCTACTGTATTGGCAGATGATGAGTCCAAGAGCATGGTATATTGTTCAGGGTTCCTGAGACAGACACAGAGACAGAAATAGAGTGACAGAGAGATAGAGAAAGAGAGAGACAGAGATAGAGAGACAGAGAAAGACAGAGTTTGCTTTTTCCTGAGGCTTTCAACTGACTCCATGAGGTCCACCCATACTGGAGAGTCATCTGCTTCACTCCAAGTCTACTGAGTTAAATGTTTATCTCATTTTTAAAAGATGCCTTTGCAGCAACATCTAAAATAGCATTGGACCAAATACCTGGGTACTGTGGCCTAGCCAAATGGACACATAAACTTAACTATCGCAGATGGTGACAGTAGTAATAAAACAATAACATCATTCACATTCCTATGTCCTGAGGGTTTTGCACATGTCGGTGCGTTTTGTCCTCATGGTAACCTTATCTGCCAGGGTTGTCCTGGGCCTCCTCAAGTTCATACATGACCAGATCTTGTGTTTCTATGGCAACAACACAGCTGCATCTATGTTCACAGCCTTGTTTTCCCTCTCCTGCAGAACATACACCTTCAGTCTAGCTACAGACCCGAACATCAGAAAGGACAATGAAGCCAGCAGCAGATGTGATGGAGAATTTTGTCCCCCACCAACATCAAGGAGTTTTAACAGCATACAGGCTTTGCAGGTAGTAGAATTCCCTTATTTTTTTTAAGTTAACTAAGCAAAACCACATTTTGTATTAACTCCATGGCGGACATGATTTCATGGAAGTAACTTGTGTTCTATAAACACATCCTCCCTGCTGCCCCAGAGCACAAACCAGGTATGGTCGCCAAAGGGTCTACCTCATCAGTGCTGAGGCACAGGAGGGCCCACCCGGGTCCATCTGCCCAGTCAGATGGGGAGCCACCCTCTCCATAGCTGGGCACCCCATCTGTGTGCTTCTGAAGGCAGCATCAGTCATGGCACCAGGACACAGAGTGGGAAAGAGGCAGGGACACAGTGATGCCCAGAATCCTGAGTTCTCATCCAGATTCCCTCATTAATGGGCTAAATGACCCCAAAGAAGTCACCTTCCCTAGAGACTCAGCTTTTTTTATCTTTTGAGTTAAGACTCTCTATAACCTGGAGGAACAGCAGCCTTGGGCCAGGGTCTGGGGTATTGCAGAGCACCCAAGGCTCGACACCCCCAGAGGGCATGTCCAGGCTGTGCAGATTCCAGGAGGGGAGCAGGCAGTCCTTCCCTGAAGGCAAGTAACCAACACCATGTTTCCTGGTCACTGTCTGGGCAGTGGGCAGGCCAGACCTCTGATCTGAAGCTTTGTTTTTTCCTTTCAAAGGAATCCCAGAGGGCAGTGCACCTGCAGCTGGCCTTTGGCCAGTTACTGTGGTAGTAGAAACACCCCCTTGACCTGAGTTGTTTCCAAATCTGTCACTCCACACCCTGCTGTGCCACACACACTATGTTAGAAACTATCATCCCAGCTACCCAGCCAACATGGAGACATCATTCCTGTCCCCTCCCACTTTTCTGGAACTGAAGATTGAGGCTTAAGGACACTAGGAAGCCCTGTGGAAGCACACAGACTCCTAAACCATTCCTTCATCAGACTGCTGAGAGGATTACAAAAAATGAGGCGCCTAGTGCCCACCATAGGCTAGGCCACGGCTGCCCAGAGACTGTTGCTGCCCAGAAGGTGGGGCTACCATAGTCTGGCTCATTTCTGAGTCCCCAGAGCCTAGTTTGGGACCTGGTCCATAAATCTCATTCCATGAACAATAGAATGACCAAATGAAGACCCTATTCGAACTCACTATTGGATCACCCTAAGTCCAAAGTTCACTATCTGTTACAAATTGAATTGTGTCCTCTAAAAATGTACATCTTGAAGTCCTGACCCCCAGTACCTTAGAATGTGACTGTATTTGGAGGCAAGCCTTTAAAAAAGTATTTAAGGTAAAATGAGATCATTGGGGTGTCCCTGACTATATCTGACTGATGTCCTTATAAAAGAGGAGATGAGGACACAGACACACACAGAGGGTTGACTCTATGAGGATGCACGGAGAAGACACCATCTTCACACCTCAGAGCAGCCAGCCCTGCCACACCTTGATCTTGGACGTCCAGCTTCCAGCATGTGAGAGAATCCATTCCTGCTGTTTAACCCGCAATCTGTGGTCCTCTGCCACGACAGCCTGAGCTGACTATGCCCCTCCTTCTCCAAAGACACTTCAGTCCCTCCAGGGCTGCCCGCAGGCTAAGGTGTGTTTGGCCCTAACAGCAGCTGTGCACAGGATGCTGAAAGCTGAGAAGGCAGCAGATATTCTCTTTAGCTGGGGCTTCAGTCAGAGACAAAAGTGTCCCAAGGTGAAAGAGCCAGAGACTTACCAGCCACAAACAGACAGAAACAGGGCTCTTTGCCCCAGACTGCAGGGCTCTGGGAGATGCAAGGTGGGCAGATTTTTTCCCCACCCCCCATAGGGGTAAGAGGGGAGGCATGAGCCAGGCCCAGCCCAGGGCCATGCCCTCTTTTCCAGGTTCTAGGAGTGGGAGAGTCTGGAACGGAAGTCTCTGTTCATAGCTCAGCTTGTGTCTGAACTCAGAACGTTCAGTGGATGAGAGCAGAAAAAAACCCTTGCTTGATCTGATTTTGCCCCTTCTATTTCCAGAAGAAAACTGGCAATAGGCCTGATACAATGCACCTGTGGGAGGCTGAATGGTGGCCTCAGAGAAAAGGTCCAAAGCTTTGGAACCTGTACATATGGCCCTGTAAGAAAAAAGGGCCAAAAAAAAGATCTTTGTCAGTGGGTTCTTGTAAGCACCTTGAGATGGAGAGATAATCCTGGGCTACTCAGGTGGGCCCTAAGTTCAATCACAAGTGCCTTCTAAGAGGAAAGCAGAGGGGAGGCTCATGCACTCAGAAGAAGGGGAGGCCATGTGACCACAGAGGCAGAGACTGGAGTGATACAGCTACAAGCCAAGGAATGCCAAGAGCCACCAGGAGCTGGAAGAGGCAAGAAACAGGTTCTCCTGCAGAGCCTCTGTGGGGGTTTGGGTCTGGCAACACCTTTGCTTTGAACTTCTGGCCTCCAGAACTGAGAGGATAAATTCCTGTTGTTTTGCACCACCAACTTGTGGTACCCGTGATACAGCCCTGCCTCCTTCCATGGACACCAGGGGTCAAACCATTCCATTTCCCACAGACTTTTCTCTTGTCTTAGTATCATATTCTTGTGGTAAAGCTCCACATTTCAAAGTTTAGATGCTCTGGGCTCTTCCAAGGAAAGAAATGCCCCAAATCCAAATCTCAGCCTGCTGCTTCGACTTGGATTGCCCCTAAGCAGACTGAGAACATGCGTGTTGTGCAAGCTACTTTCAGATCAGCTCTCAGCAAGGGAATGGGATAGGACTTTTTTTTTTTGAGCCAGAGTCTCACTCTGTTGCCCAGGATGGAGGGCAGTGGCACAGTCATGGCTCACTGCAGCCTTGGCCTCCTAGGCTCAAGCAATCCTCCTGCCCCAACCTCCCAAGTAGCTGGGACTACAGTTGCACATGCCACCACACCCAGCTAACTCTTTAAAAATTTTTCTAGAAATGAGGTTTCACTCTGTTGCCCCGGCTGGTCTTGAACTCCTAGGCTCAAGTGATCCTCCCACCTCAGCCTCCCAAAGTGCTGGAATTACAAGCATGAGTCACTGCAGCTGACCAAGATAGGACATTTTAATATTCATCTGGGGTGGTGAGGGTAATGCCTCTTGGTGTCAATATAGGCAACCCCTGCACAATCACACTTCACAATTGTATGACAACAAGACCAACTTTCCCCTTGGAGCTCTGCCCTAGAAGTGTTTGTATCCAGAAGCCAACAACTGCAGTCCTCCGATATGAGACAATAATATTCACTCTGCCTTGACTGATGGCCCATTTTGAAGACTCAACCCTGTGGGCCTGAGAAAGTGGAAACTGCAAAGGTTTTCACCACCTCACCAATACCATGGTCTGTGCACCTGTCAGGTGTAATCAGAGCTCCCGAGAACAGTCGAGGCCCTTCAGCAGTTGGGAGTTCTGCATCACCCAGGTCGGTGTGGACTTCGTGAGGGACCACAAGATCTGATGGGAGCTGTCCGTGGTGCTGGCCCCAAGAACGCTTGTGGAGCAGGTGAAATTGGTCCCCAACGAACGCCCCCTCCTTCCCAGCAATCCCCAAGCATTCCTCAAGGTGTGGGGACACTGCTGGGGGCCACTCTTGCAGGAAGAAAGTGACCAGTTTATGCAGACCCTTGTGACTCCCTCATTGTTTGCAAAAGCAAATCCACATGGGAAGGGTTGGTAGCACCAGAAGAGTAAAATGAGGCACTTCCTTGCCAGAGGTGTCCAGATGTTAAAAGTATTTGCATTTCCCTCTCTAGAATTTGGGAAATCAGGGTGATGCTGAGGCTGGTGCCTGGAGGTTGAGGCTGAGGAGGACCATATCTGCTCACTCTTCTTCCTTACTCCACTTGGTAACAAAACACGCAATAGCCTCTCTCTCACTTTAACTCAGAGAGCTGTGCAGCCAAGATGGGAAGGGATAGAGGAAAGGACCCTCCTGAGCCACCTCCTGCCCGGTGGTGCTTTCCAGCCTGTCCATGGCAGGTGACTTTGCTTTGTCCATCCCTGGTCACCTTGGCTCCCTGTAGAAGGTTCCCAGCTCACCTCCCATGGCAGGCACTGTTTGCTGTGTGCCCACCCTCTCTGTCTATGACTCATCCTTCCATGTTTGTCCCTTGACCCCTCAGAGATCTGCAGCTCCCCAGAGGCGGGACCCTGTGTACGGCAATGTTGTGTCCCAGTATCTGACATGCTCCCTCCTGCAGCGCCATGTCACAGGGATGCTGATGGCATGAGTCCTAGGACCTAGTGGGTGGCACCACTGATCCCATGTTGGTGCAGAGGTTCCCATCCTGTTCCAGCATGGAGCCCATCCCCCCAATCCCGATATCCTGGGCCTGGCACTGGGCAGCGCTTCTCTGGTGCAGGGAATGTTGGGTGTATAAGACTGACATCAGCTGGCCCAACAGTGCCCTCCAGGGTAACAGCTGAGCCTCAGCATCTACCTTGGGGATTTCAGTTTATGCCTATGGCTTCTGGAGCAAGGCTTACGCTCCATGCAGCTGTCCCAGTAGCCTCTGGCTGGCTCGTGGAATCGTCCTTGGCTCTCAGTTTCTCCACCTCTCTCACAGCCAGTTCCTTTCAGGGCCAGACCCTCCCTCCCACCCACCATCCACAGCATGGTGAGAAGGGCAGTCTCAGCTCCCCAAGGATGGACCCAGTTCCATCTGGGGCTCCTCTTCGTAAAGGATAGCCATGTCACTGCCTGAAATATGGCCCTTGGGTTACTTTCCTGAAGTGCAGGTCTCCCCAAGAACAGGGAAGACATGTGCCCTGCAACTGTGAGGCTCCAAGGCCATCCTAGGGCTACCTGAGGCAAGAGAGAACTGCTGTCCCACAGCTCAAAGCCACTTGGTCATTCTTGTGCTACGAGGAAATAAATAAAGTAAAATAAAATATTGTTTTCTTCTAGCACTCAGCCAGGGAATGGCCAGATATGGAAAGGCAGTAAGAGGGATGGAAGAAGGGCATCTACCCTCAGAAGCAGAACTCATACTCCAGAAGTAGAATGTGCCAACACAGGGGCAATTCTGAAGGGCTCCTGGAAAGAGGAAGAGTGCCAGCAAAAGAGGAGACAGATGATGGATAGATAAATCAGTAGATAGATAGACATAAAATATCTATATATTATAACATAAATCTATATGATAACAATATAGTATAACATAAAGATAAAGATCATATCCTAAGAAGTCTCTGAGGAGCTTTAAGGACTTAGAAAACACAGAAAAATAGAAGACAGGTGTGCTATGGTATGGCCAGTCCTGTCTCTTGTTGTCTCCTTTATGATGTTATAATGCCCAGCAAGTAAAAAATTGGGAGAAATTGAAGAGGTTCCCTACTCCTCAGCCTCTTTCACTAATAACTTTGGCAAAACAGGTGGCAGCTATTGACAATGCAGGAAGATATCCCCTTCCAGACCAGCTGTTACATGACCAGGAGAGCTGCAGTTAGCACAAGTCTGGCTACTTGGGTATTAAATCATACGGGTCTTGCTTCCTGCCCCCAGGCCACTGTTGCAAGGAAGAGCGTGTTGGTGGTGCGCCACGGGGAGAGAGTGGATCAGGTCTTTGGGAAGTCGTGGCTGCAGCAATGTTCCACTCCAGACGGTAGGTAAAGGCTGGCGGGTCTACAGGCAGAAACACCATGGAGCTGACAAATGGCCGTGTGTAGACTGTTTATCTGGCATGCATGCCTGTTACCTCTTTCTCTAGAGTGTTGCATGGATGCATCTGAGTGTATGCTGCCTGTAAGAATCCTGTGTCAACCACTTTGGAGGAGATGGAGGAATGGTTCTTCATAGAAGCAAGTCCGTTAGCATAGCAAGTCTGAATGTGTGGACAGGTCTTTTAATCCCAGCAGCACACATATGGTATTTGGTTAGTGAATGCAGCATTAGCTTTAGAGCAGGCCACCCTGAACTGTAGCTTCAGAACCCTACAGCTGCTGGCACATGCTATATCTCTCAGTCTTATCTCTGAATTTCTCCAGGCTAATCTCAACTGCTACCATTTGGGGTTATGTTGCTTAGCAGATGGACATAGTCTTAAACATGTCTCTTGCCCACCCCAACTTTGCCCTTCTGAACTCCAGGAACTAAGAACAGTGATTATGAATACACAGACCCCCCCAAGGCTATCTCTGTTCTGATGATCAATGTCCACGCCAATGCACATCTCCTAACAGGAAGCTTATAACATCACCATTTCCAAGCCATGGGTCATTATACAAATCAAGATATTGGACACAGTGATAAAATCCATTCCCAGGTGCTAGGTTAGCCAAGCTCTTGGGTGATCCCCTCAGGAGTCCAGCAGAATCAAGAAAGGGAGATACGAATAAGGAAAACCATTGGCAGGTGATAGGCACACACCGGTTAAACACTGAACTGATAACATAATGACTGAGCATATTTCTAAGATCTCGCAGAGCTAATAATAGAGCTGTCTCTAAAACATAAAGTCAAGTAGAGACACAAAGCCTTCAGGAAGAAATGATAAGTGAACATGAGGATGAATTGACATTCAAACATGTAAGAAAATGTCTTGTGATAAAACAGTTATTGAAGCTATAGGTGGAGGTGATACATCATGTCCATGAGGGGTGGGGGTGGGGTGAGTGGAGAACCAATACAAAATAACACCAAAAATAGTGGACTTTACAGAAACAGAAAAAATATTTGGTCATCTAGGCACAAGATTAAGTCATTCAAAAGGGCAAATATTTTACATATTGGAAATTCCAGCTGAAAGAAGATTCCTAATGGATCTCTTCACGAGGCAGAGATGCCCTTGACAGAGTGAATAATGGCATCTGGTCAGTCTGATTTCTTATACTGGGTGGCTTAATAAGTTACAATGGAGTATTTGGCCACATCCTTCCCTTGGGTGACCAACCACAAGGAGATTTGGGGAGCTCTGCTGGCCTCCCCCTGAGTCAGCTCACTTCTGGTCCAGTAGTCCATGCCCTCACATGGTCCCTTACCTCACCCTGTGTTCTGCACAGACTTGCCCCCCATCAGAACCTAGCCTTGTCCCCACATCCTCATCCCCTTCCGAGCTCTGCTCTCTGCATCCCAGAGTGACCACAGATAAAGTACCAATGACAGCAAAAGACCCAAAAGTAGTGTGTTAACATTCTGGGGCAGGGGGGCACAGATACCTTTGAGAATACGATAAAATTGGACCTGCTCTCTGAAAAAAAATATTTTAGAACATCTTTGCTGACACTGGCATTTAATAGAGATTTTTAAAGTATATGGTTCAAACAAGAGTGTCTGCCAATGGAAAGTTCAGGAAGGGGCTTTTCAGTTTTCTGAAACAGAGCATTAAAGAAAAGCATGCAAAATAGCTGCTGCCTCCTGCTGTGTCTCTGCAAGGCTGGGTTGTTCCAAGCCTGCATGTACCCCAACGCAAGTCTCAGGAAGGTCAGTGCCTCTGCTAGAACCTACTATAGTCAGATTTGGGGTCACTTGAGAGAATGTGAAGGCAAGTCAGACCACATTTGAGGGCATAGTGTGGCGTGGTGTCCTCTGTAAGGGTAATCACTCATTCTGATAGGAGACCAGCTCCTCCACACATCAGCCACTGACTCTTAGCCAGGTGCTGGGCTCTGGGAATTATCTCCCTGACGTATCATGATCTCTTTATCCTTTTTCTCTTTTCGCTGATAGAGGTTAAATCATTTGTTTCTGACCTGGCATAGTGGCTCAGTCTGTAATCCCAGCACTTTGGGAGGTTGAGCTAAAAGGATTGCCTCAGCTCAGGGTCTCAAGACTATCCTGGGCAATTTAGCAAGACCTTGACTCTACAGTAAATCAAAAAATAGCCAGGTGTGATAGCACGCCTATAGTTCCAGTTACTTGGAAGGCTGAGGCAGAAAGATCACCTGAACTCAGCAGGTCAAGGCTGCTGTAGCTGTGAGCACGCCACTGCGTTTTGGCCTGGGCAACAAAATGAGACTCTGGCTCAAAAAAAAAAAAAAAAAGTCACTTGCTTCTAGCACACAGCGAGGAGTTGGTGGTGCCAGGATTTGTCTCCCCACCCCCACCCCTGACTGTCAGATCTTAGAACTCCAGGTCAAGCTTAAAGTGAACCGCAGCATATGTAGCTTCTGGTTACAGGGAGAGCCCCAGTGAGCCCATCTGGTTTCTGGACTGGCCCTCAGGCGATTGGCTAAAGAATGCTCAACAGTGGATGTCTGCAGCCTCATGTGCTCTAACCCCTGAGCAATAAGGATGCCCTTGAAGCAAGGGGAACAGGTCAACTTTCACCTAATTAATAGATGCCAACTTGAGATGCTCAGTCGGTTGCAGAGACATGTGACTCTTTATCAGGGAAATTATGAGAATAACTTTTCATGAAGGGCCTGGAATGACAGAGAACTGTGTGTTCCTGTGACTGACACGTGCGTTTTCAGCATTTGAGGAAATGTTACATGAACGATCAAGCAACACTTTCTCCTGGAATTGAAGCCACATCACAGAGCACACTTGGGAAACAACACGGTCAACAATCATTTCAATAACTTCGCCTGTAGAATGGGTCTTGGTCTTGGGAGTTTTGCAGAACAAATCTGTACTAACTTGATGAAACTGAATGTCTGATGCTTATTTGTACATTAGGAAAATACTACAGGCCAGACCTGAACTTCCCATGCAGTCTGCCCAGGAGGAGCAATGGTATCAAAGATTTCGAAAATGACCCGCCACTGTCATCATGTGGAATCTTCCAGTCCAGAATTGCAGGTATGTTTGAGGGCTGTTTAGCAGGAAGGGTAACAATACAAGAATAATGACTATAGGCCAAGCGCAGTGGCACACACCTGTAATCCCTGTACTTTAGGAGGCAGAGGCAGGTGAATCACTTGAGCCCAGAAGTTCGAGACCAGCCTGGGCAAATGAACCAGACCTCATCTCTACAATAACTCAGAAAATTAGCCAGGCATGGTGGCCTATAGTTCCAACTACTTGGGAGGCTGAGGCTGAAGGACCGCCTGAGCCCAGCTTGTCAAGACTGCGACCATGATCATGCCATTGCACTGTGCAGCTTGGGTGACAGAGTAAGACTCTGACTCAAAAGAAAAAGACTATAATTAACATGTATGGAGCCCTTACTATACCCCCTCTGGTGTCAGTGTCTGCCGCTAAGGAGACTGGGTCACAGGGAGGCCAAGCAACTCACCCAAGGTCACACAGCTAATAAATGGAAGTACAAAGGTGTGACCCAGGAATGGATGGTTGGGGAAGATGGGAATGAAAGGCAGGCATGGAAAGAACAAAGGTGGGGAGGGAAAATCAACAACCACTGTGTGCACCAAGGGTGTCATTTAAAAATAAAAACTGCATCCCCTCATTGGGATCAGATCTCAAGATCTGTCACATTGGGATTTTGCTTTTATCTAGGGGTTCTAGTTCCACATGGTTGAATTTTTGGAACAGAAGAGACCGTTGAGCTCATCTGGTCTCCATTACATAAATTCAGAAAGTCAAACGTAAAGAAGCAAGTCACACAGCTGGCTTATTGAAGGAGCAGCCCAGAGCCCACTCTCCTGGGCCCTCACCTAGTGGTGTGCTTATGAATATTCAGCTGTTATAGCCAGACTGTGAGAAAGGAGTCACCGACACTCAGAGAGTTGAATTTGAGTCCTTTATTAGCTGATAGTCAAGAGCAGGCTAGTGTCACAAAGAACTCTCAACTCTGAACAGAGTAAGCAGTGGGTCTATAAAGGCAAAACCCACAAAAGCTGTACAGTTATGATTATATTTTTGGCAGAACATTTGGTTTTGGTTGCACAAGGGTACAGATAGCTACAGAATTTGTGATTAGGGAGTTTCCAAGCACTGAGGGGAAAAAAGGGTGTGGGCTTGTGATTATGGGAAGGTTACAACTTGTGATTATGGGAAGGTTATGCAGGGAGGTCATCTCTGGGTATGAACAGCTAAAATGGAGAATCTGTTACAAAATGGAGTTACTTATGTTAAGTAAGTTATTACAGGCTATTATTGGTTTTACAGATAGATATTTCATTCCCCCCCTTTTTTTTCCTGACTCAGTGTGCTGACTCATCAGTCATAAGTATATTATTGTATTGGGGTCTCATATATATAAGTTTTATAGAACTTATTTGTTGTTTGACAAAGCGAATAATCTAATTTATTATGCAGGGCCTATAGGTAGACCAAGGAGGAGAAGTATGAGAGGCCCAACCAGACCAATAACAAGAATGGTTAGTCATGTGTTCCAGTCGAACAAGGACTGGAACCAGGATTTATTATTCTTCCTTTTTTTGTCTTTTGTCTAAACTTTTTTGAACCTTTTGGAGGATGTTTTTAAATGACTCTTGATTTATTGGCATAAAAACAGCATGATTTTTTAGCACTACACAGAGCCCTCCTTTGATGCCAGCCCCTTTTTTGAAGGTAAAAGAGAAGAGAAAGATTTACTTCTCACAGACAGGAAGTGGGCCTACACTCTAGATGAGTGTGGCCCCGTAGCCCCCCAAGCTCTGGCTTAAATCCTTTTCCCTGGAGATGTTGTAATCAAGTAGACATGACTGTCGTGACTTTTTTGTTGACCACTTGTGGATGTCTTGGAGATTCTGAGGGAGGTCCTGGTCACCATACATTGAGTATATAATGGGTCGATACTAGCTATGCTTGAGAAGTCTGTATTTTTAAAAAAGACAAATTATAGTAGGCCAGTACCGGCCATGTTTAAGGAGTCTGTGTTTTTGAAAAGACAAAGTTGCAAAGTTAATTTTTACCTAGAGTATGCATTTTTTTAGGACATTGCCTCTACTTTATTTTATCATTGTGTTAGGATTTAGGAACAAGATAAAAAATGGATTTTTTCAGGACATAGCTTTTATTTTTTTTTTTTATCATTGTGTCAGGGTTTAAGAACAAGATGAAAAATGACTTTCTGCTCTCGGTTTGTCCTTTTATTCCCCACTCCTGCTCTTGGAAATATTTTTATGATCTTGGGAAACAGGGTAAAGATTAATCTTTTGTAACTGTTTTTGTTGAGGTGGACTATAGAGATGTTTTCTATCTATTTATTTTTAAGGGCATGAATAGGAAACAGTGGGACCTTAACTGAATATTATTGGAATTTAATAAAACATTAAGCGAGAGCAAAATTAAGCAAACAATGATGAAAAAGACTATTGTCTCAGAAACAATGTTGGAAAAGTGAGAGTAGTCTCATAAATTATATGTATGATTAGCTAAAGTTTCTAATTTGTCAACATAAGTTGAAATTCTTTTGTAAATTCTTTATAGTTGTACTTTAACAGGAAATACAGCCATTTTGACAAAGTCTGAAGAAAGAAAAATTGAAAACATTAGACACAAGTGTTAGGTTGTAGAGTATCATATAAAAAACCAGGCATATTAGAGAATGGGGAATAAACAATGTATAGGTTTTATAGAACTATCACCAGCTGTTTTATTATTTTTTTATTGGGCTAACCTGACATTTAAAATCTGCACTGTCAGAATCTGCAGCAAGCTCTCCCCTGTCTCCTAACCTCAGTGATGTCCTCTTTGGCTAGCAATAAACTTTCTGAAAGCTGAAGGCAGAAAGTGTTGAGGTCCATGTTTCCTTTAAGCTACTGTGTCTAAGGACAGTTGTTGTGAAAGAGTTATTTATCACTTGGGAAGGGAGAGATTTAAGCCAAGTCAAGTTATATTATAATTATCCCCTACATTTAGGGAAATAGGAGTTGTATCAGGATGTTTGGCACGATAAAGGTTAAGATGTTTACCTCATCCCAGAGAGACTGAATCAAGAAGGCCAATAGTGTCGCCGTTACTCTGAAAGTTACTTATTTAGCCGGAGTTATGGTCTAAAGATTTTGAAAAGAAAAAACTTCGCTTTTTGTAACAAAAACAGTGGGGGAGGGCTAACTGAATTTTGGGATTTTTTTCCCCCATCTCTGTTGTTTAAAGGAGAAAATCTTTTTTGATAAGGCTATATGATTTTAACATGGATGGCTAGGACCAAAAGACTGGCACCTGTGTTAAATTAAGAAATTAATTTGGGTTTCAGTGTCCTAATATTTACCTGGGGGGTTGTTGAGGTGATGGTGAGCCAGTGCCAGACAGTTTAGTAGATTTGCAGGCCTCCATAAGTGGCCACCATTTGTGAGCCAAGTGTTCTCTCCTCTCATCAGAAGAGAGTGCACCTGTTTCTCGATGGCTTTTTGGACTGCTCAGTGGACAAGGTCTAGGAGGTTTTAGGCCTCTTTGGGGCAACTATGTTTTTAGTGCCCCCACAGACTGTACCCATAAGCAACAGACACCATCCTCTTAGCAGATTTGTTTTTGCCAGGTGTCTGATAGGCAGTTGGAGTTTTGTCACTAATAGTTATAGCCAATTAGGGTGTTTTTTTGACCTTCTGGTTTTGCTGTCCTCCGTGTTGGCACTGTTTTTTTTTCTTAATGTTTTGGTTGGAAAAAAAAACCTTAGAAGCTCATTTTTAATAGGTTATACATATGAAACTTTTTAACCATTTCTCTGTGACAGTCTGATGTAAAGCCTTTTAGAGTGAACAGACCACATGGATGTGTAATGATCTGTCCCTACTTATTTATAATTATAAACAGGCAAAGTTATTAAAACCCCTTATAAATTACTAAATTGTAGTCTTAGTTGTAAGGTATGGACAATTAGGTGAGAGTGATCAGTTTCTATCTTTATTGTGCTTACACAGAGTACCCAGTATTTTATCCATCTGGTAGAAGAAGTACTAGGCTTCGTAAAAGTGACTTAACCAGGTGGGAATGGCCAGTTCCCAAACCTCATCATGTCACACAGGGTGTTTAGCATTTAAAGCTTTACCTCTCATAAGAGGGTGTTAGGCACAACAGGTGATTTAACCCTTTGCTTATAAAATATAACTTCAGCGAGCCTGGTATAACAAACAGTAGTGTTACCTAGCACTAATGTGTTAACACATGGTAACTTGAGAGAGATTTATTATACAAAAAAACAAACAAACAAGAACCTCAATATCTTTTTGTCACAGCCACTCTCCTGAGGAGAGACCTGTTAAGTTATGTGGAAACTTGAATGGGCTTTCCAAGTACACGTGAGGGTGGTAACTTGTTACAACAAGTAGGGGTGCTGCCAGGGGGTTATCAAGTAGTGGGGAGAAGGGGAGCAAGAAGGTTAGAGGCTGGGGTCAGGTGCCATGGATGATAAATGAGGGATGACTCACTGAAGTCACAGAAAGGTATACTATGCAGCTGTTAGAGTTTCAAGGTTCTTCGTGGAGTCACTTTGCCAACCAGAAAAGAAGAGAACAAAGAAACCAAGCACTTTGTCTCCCACCCATATGGGTACTGGCGATCTGAACTTTCCTTCGGGAACCTTCTTACCTCCCTAGGGAGTAGCCCTAGGCAGAGAGCATCAGTTGTCCTCCAAGATCCAGCAGAAAAATTCTTTATCATAAAGTCCAGGGGACTTGAGGGTTGAAGCCTGTGACCCCATATTGTCAGACCAGTGAGAAAACCAAAACTGAAATCAGAAATTGAACCAAGACTCTATTCAGCCAACGTCTTGGCGTAATGAATACTGTCCAAGGGACAGCCTTGTCAGGCCATGACTCCTTTAAATAGCATTATGGCCACAAACAGAACAGATTCTTATCTCCTAGGAGAATGCGGATGGACTCAGTATTTTTGAGGTGATGGGAAGCCAGCTGTTGTTCCAACTCCATCCGGGCCAGGTGAGAGGTTATGGGGCCCTGGAACATCTCAGGGGGCACCTTCCCTATAGCTTCTCCACCAAGCCAGGAGAGCTGGAGCAAGGCCACCTCCTGAGTTTGGTAAATCTTGCTGGGGCCTCCAAATGTTATAGCCGGCCTGTGAGAAAGGAGTCGCCAACACACAGAGAGTCAAATTTGAGTCCTTTATTAGCCGGTGATTGAGAGCAGGCTAGTGTCATAAAGAACTCTTGACTCCGAACAGAATAAGCAGGGGGTTTATAAAGTCAAAAACCACAAAAGCTGTACAGTCACAATTATATTTTTGGCAGAACATTTGGTTTTGGTTGTGCAAGGGTACAGATAGCTACAAATTTTGCAATTAGGGAGTTTCCAAGCACTGAGGGAGAACAAGGGTGTGGGCTTGTGATTATTGGAAGGTTACAACTTGTGATTATGTGAAGGTTACGCAGGGGGGTCATCTCTGGGTATGAACAGCTAAAATGGAGAATCTGTTACAAAATGGAATAACTTATGTTAAGTCAACTATTACAGGCTATTATTGGTTTTACAGATAGATATTTCACAACCACTGGCTCTGGGCAGTACTGGAAGCCCTGAAGTGTTGCATCTGCTGATTTCAGTGCTGAAAATACAGCACACATGCCCAAGCTGATTTGAGGCTCCCAGTGGCGAGTCACCGGACACAAAGTCAGGAAGAGATAGTGGCTCCAGGCCTCTCTCCATGGCTTGTAAGAAGGACATCCTCTCCCTGTGTGTCTTCACATTGTCTTGTTTTGTTTTGTTTTGTTTTTGAATCAGGGTCTCATTCTGTCACCCAGGCTAGAGTGCAGTGTCATGATCATGGTGATAACTGCCACGGCAGCCTCAACCTTCTGGGCCCAGGCAGTGCTTTCACCTCAGCATCTCAAGTAACTGGGACTACAGGCACATGCCACCACAGCCAGCTTATTTATTTTTATTTTTATTTTGTAGAGACGAGGTCTCACTATGTTGCCCAGGCTGGTCTCAAACTCCTGAGCTCAAGCAATCCACCTTCTTCAACTCCCCAAAGTGCTGGGATTACAGGCATGAGCCACTGCACCTGGCCTCACATTGTCTTCTTGCTATGTGTGTCTCTGTGTTCTAATGCCTGGTACCTCAGAATGTGAGTTTATTTGGAAATGGCGTCTTTGCACAGTAACCAAATTAAAATAAGGGCGGGTACCTCACTAAAGTTAAAATTAGGATGGGTGTTAATCTCGTGTGACTGATGTCATTCTAAAGGGAGAAATTAGGACACAGAGATACATCTAATGACAGGGACAGCTGTATTGGATTAGTACCCACACTCATTTCAACTTGACTCAACCCATAACCACCTCCACTAAAACCTCACTCCCTGGGTTTGGTGCATGGCATTGTGTTATGAAGACTTCATTCTTTTCAAAGACCAGGGCTACTGACATCACAAGAGGAAATGTGGTTTCTAGGCTTGTCCTTCCATGAGCCCCAGCAGGGCTGGAGTTTTTCATGGCTACAGAATAAGTGGTCACAAATGTAAAGCACCACCATCTGTTTTTCCACAGTTATGCAGCTCAGACGCCTGGGCACGGTATGGCTGGTTCTCTGCTCACAGTCTCAAAGCTGGAAACCAAGGTCCCAGCTGAGCCGAGTTCCCATCTGGAGCTCAAGTCCCCTTGCAGACTCATACAGGCTGTTGGCAGAATTCGGATCCTGGCAGTGGGAGAACTGAGGTCCACCCCTTGCCGACTGTGAGCCAAGGGCCAACCTCAACCCTAGAGGCTGCCCCCAGTCTTCTCCATGCTGTCCCCTCTATCTTTGAAGCCAGCAATGGAGAATTTTTGGCATACCAAGTCCCTCTCACTTTAAATTTCTCTGATTTATTTTCTATGACTGACTGGAGAAAATCTCTACTTTTAAAGGGTTCACGGACATGGTCAGACTCACAGGGGATCACCTCCCCCCTTCTGCATATAATTTTATGTAAGTCACAGGAAGGGAGAGATAGACTGTCCTAGTCACAGTCTCTGCATACACTCAAGGGAGCTATGCAGGGTGTGGAAACCTGGGGCCCTCTTGGGACCCTTTTGTACCATAAGGAATACACTACTCATCGGAGGCTAGGCTTATGTAGAGGCATTTTCACCTTCTGTTTTCCAGGGGATGCATTTCTGGACAGTGGCATCAGAATCACCTCTGTCTTCACCTCTCCAGCCCTCCGCTGTGTGCAAACAGCCAAGCTCATCCTGGAAGGTCAGTGAGAACTTCAGCGAGCTTCTTCTGTTGCCTTAACCTTGGCTATTCTTCAAGGACAGCAAAAAGGGAGTAGAGGTGAAATTGGATGATTGGCCATGAATGGCCCCAGAAAAGTCATAAGGCAGGTGTGAACCAGTCCCCCCAGAGACTACAGGGAGGCACACTGAGCCTGTGAGCATTTTTGGAATGCCAGGATTATCAGACCAACAGGGTCTGCTAGGAACTGTCCTCATGATGTTTCTCTTTGGCCTCCTTCTGCCAGGTGTTGAAAGAAACACCTGGAAAGAATATTTAAAAACCTAGAGAGACTTGCTCCTGCCATCCCAACACTTTGGAAGACTGAAACGAGAGGATCACTGGAGTCCAGGAGTTTGAAACAAGCCTTGGCAACATAGCAAGACCCTATCTCTATTAAAGAAAAAAAAAAATTAGCCAGGCATATTGATCTGCACCTGTAGTCCCAACTGCTTGAGAGGCTGAAGCAGAAGAATCACTTGAGCCCAGGAGTTGGAGGCTAGAGTGAGCTATGATCGTGCCACTGCACTTCAATCTGGGTAACAGAGTGAGGTCCTGTCTTGTTAATAAAATAAAATAATAAAATAGCTGGGAACTGCTGTGATCCCTCCTAAGCTGAAATACATGACCCTTCTCAGGGCACTCAGTCTGCCAGCGAGAGCTGTCCAGCGTTTTCCAGGGCTGATGTGTGTTAGGAAGCCCTGAGGACCCTTCCATACCTCTCACCTACAGGAAGGAGAAAGTTCCTGCTCAGAGGAGGCAGACTGGAGGCCTGGGCCACACACTAGTCTGAGCCCCACCCTGCTCCTCCTTGTGTGGAAGAGGAACGAGATCTAGTTCCCCAGTCAGGATCCAGCTGTGACCAAGAGCAGGGATCGTCCTGCCACAGTGACAGGAGAGAGGACAGAGCATGTGGGCACAGACACAACAGGTGGACACATGTGGAGGAGGGGCTTACCCTGACTTTCTCAGAGATCTAGGAAGTCGGGTCACCGGCAGAAGTGATAAAGGGGAGGGACCCCTGGAAGTCTGAGGCATGCTGATGGTAAAGGGTAGCTGTCAGAGAGAGGGGGTCAGTACATGGTCTGGGGGATGTGTGGTGGCCTCTGAGAAGCACTGGGAGCCACCCAAGGCTAGTGAGCATGAGTTTAAAGGGAGATGCATCGGCTGGGCTTGGGGGTTTCCTCCCAGTGGAATGGAGGGCTTTTATTGACCCAAGTTGTAAGACTCTTCCTTCTTCCCTCCCTCCCTCCCTTCCTTACATCTTTCCTTCCTTGCTTTCTGTCAGAGTCTCACTCTGTCACCCAGGCTGGAGTGCAATGGCATGCTCACAGCCAGCACAACCTCGACCTGCTGGGCTCAGGTAATCCTTCTGCCTCAGCCTTCCAAGTAGCTAGAATTCCAGGCCAACACGACCACACCCAGCTAACGACTTTTTGATTTATTGTAGAAAAAAGGTCTCATCAGATTTCTCAGGCTGATCTGGAACCCTGGGCTCAGACAATCCTCTTACTTCAGCCTCCCAAAGTGCTTGGATTACAGGCATGAGCTACCGTGCCCAGGTGTAAGGTTCTTTTCTAGTGATGATTTTAATCTTTCTTCCCCTGTCAAACCTCTCTCACCTTGGTAACAACTTATGAATAAAAAAAAAATAACAAATATTATCTTAGCCAGTCTTTGTCATAAAAGAATATGACTGAGAACTCTGAAAATATTCTTCACAATTTTATTCCTTTTTAAATCATTGTTCATTGTTTGTCATTAACATACTTATTCTAATTTTTGTGACTACTTTTTGGACTTCTATTATTTGAATTTCTCTATAATAAATCAAAAATGAGCGGGGCGTGGTAGCGCGTGCCTGTAGTTCCAGCTACTCGGAAGGCTGAGGCGGAACGATCGCCGGAGTCCAGCAGATTGAGGCTGTGGTGGCCGGGAGCGGCCACTGCACTCCAGTCTGAGCAACAGAGTGAGACTACAACTCAAAAAATAAAAAATAAAATAAAATAAAATAAAAAGTTCTCTAAAATATTTTCTGACAATGACAATGTCAGTGTTTTTAACATTATCTCATTAACTTTTACTCTGTATGCAAATAAGGATGCCTGTTTTTTAAAGGGCACATGTTTATAAATCCTGTGTTAATTAAAAAAAAAAAAAGATACCTAGTCTTTGTCACAAGGCCACAGACATGATCAACCTGCTTTTCAGACTGAAGTCTGAGGTGCTAACAGGCTAAACTTTATTTAAATCCAATTGTTAACAAATATCCAGTGTGGCCTGTGGACCAGTGGCCTGCAGGGTATCCTCGAAAGAAAGAGATTCAGCCAGGCACAGTGGCTCACACCTATAATCCCAGCACTTTAGGAGACTGAGATGAGAGAATTGCTTGAGCCCAGGGGTTCAAGATCAGCCTGGGAAACATAACAAGACTTCATCTCTACAACAGACCAAAAATTAGCCATTCGCAGTGGTGCATGTCTGTGGTTTCAGCTACCTGGAAGGCTGAGGTGGAAGGATCACCTGAGTCCAGCAGGTGGAGACTGCGGGGGTTGTGAACATGCCACTGAACTCCAGTCTGGGCAACAGTGAGATTCCAGTTCAAAAATAAGTAAATAAATAATAAAATAAAATAAAGAGATTCAAGCCACACCCACTGGGGTTGCTCTCAAGCTGTTTCCTCATCTAATCCATTCACAATGGAAACAAGCAAACAAGCCCACCACAGACACTGGGGAGAGCTCAGAGCCTGGTTGTTCTAACTCTTTTCTTTTTTCTTTTTGAGTTGGAGTCTCACTCTGTTGCCCAGACTGGAGTGCAGTGGCACATTCCCAGCCACCGCAGCCTCAACCTACTGGGCTCCGGCGATCCTTCTGCCTCAGCCTTCCAAGTTAGCTGGAACTATAGGCACGCACTACCACACCCAGCTAATTTTTTATTTATTGTAGAGACGAGGTCTCGCCAAGTTGCCTGAGTGGGTCTCGAACCCGCAGACTCAGGCAATCCACTCACCTCAGCCTCCCAAAGTGCTGGGATTACAGGCTGAGCCATGGAACCTGGTCAACTCTCTCTTTTCTAAGTGTGCTTAACAAAGGAGTCTATCCCGTGGATCTGGAATACATTTGGGGAACTGATGTTATGTCCAGTATTTAAGTTTAATGACATCTTCTCCATTTAAAATAAAAACATGAAGGTCTTGTTTTCCACTCAAAAAGAGGTGACCTTACTTTATAGGTCTTCTTTTCATCCAAATATAAAATGCTTGGGAAGGGCAAGTTTTGAGTAGTCAGAGTGTTCCAGAAGATGGCTCCCTTCCACCCTTCACCTTTTGCCCAATCTGGTGCAAGTTTTTACTGGGAATCTGCTTCATGAGAGTAATATTCTCTGTGATTGACCACATCTTATCAATCAGTGGCTGGATTGGCCAAGTCCTCATTGACCTTGATTGGAGCATGCAGCCTGATGTTGATTTGGCTGTAGACCTGTGCTGGGTGATCGGGGTGAACAGGGTGGGCCGGCTGCCTGGGACGCTTCACCAGCTCCTGAGAGACTCTGTCCCTCCTTGAGGGACAGAGGGCCATCACTCCTCTGGTAACCTTCCAACTACCCAGCAGTTCTGGTCTCACAAAGCAATATTTGTCAATCACAGAATAATATTTGCCAATTTAAAAAAAATCACATTGTTTAAAAGCATTATTTAGATTCATGTGCAACAGTCAGAGACCTAGAAGACTTATTCACATAAAGCCAAAGCAGGTATTGAATAGGATAAACACTTGTACTCTGTTGAATCCAGAACTCAAACTGGAGAAAAAAATCAAGATACAGGTGGAACCCGGGATTTTTGAGTGGACAAAATGGGAGACTGGCAAAACCACCCCGACCTTCATGAACCTGGAAGAGCTGAAAGAGGCCAACTTCAATGTTGACACTGACTATAGGTATGCTGTTCTGAAGTCCTCTGCTACTGGGCTTTTCTAGTTCTTATTAAAGAAACACTTTTCATGACATTGTCAAAGATGGGAGGGAAGGCTTTATCTGAGAGGGCCCTCTTCAGCAGGGCTTTGCAGGAGAGGAAATAGGTGGGCTTCAACTCCAAATACAATAAAGAGTGGAGATTTACAGCCACAGTGGGGGGTGGAGGGTGGGGGTTGGGGGAGAGGTTGGACAGTGGATGGAGAATTACTAAGAGGGTAGGGTCATTCTGGCTAAACTGACCTAACAGGATTCTTGCTGAAGACGGGCAGGGTGGTCAGACCTCACCAAGGGGTGGTGGAGGATGAGGAACCCAATCAGATGCCGAGAGTGGGGGTCCTTGCTAAACCAACTCAGCAAGAACAGACACAGAAGGCTGAGGGGCAGGGCTTCATCAAGAAGAGGGTTCAGAGGAGCCGGAATAGAGTTTGGGCAAGGAGAGAGTCTTTGTCATCCTCTTCCTATGCCTGAGTCTTCTGCGTCACAGAGCCCTTCTGGCATTCAATAAGAATGCACACTGAAAGTTGGGTGCCAGCCCTTTGCCACTTTAGAGCACACAACTGGAGCCTCCCTACTGCCTTGAGAACATTCTTCCAGCCAACCACAGCCCCGCCATCCTAAATCCTACCAAACAGGCCAGGACGTCAGCCTTTTCCCTCCTCCTTTCAGGCCTGCATTCCCCCTTGCCTCCCTTCTGCCGGCTGAGAGCTACACTGAATATGTCGACAGGTGTGCAGTGAGCGTGAGATGGATCATCAGCACCTGCCCACAGGACAGTAGTAAGTGCCTTGCCATCCTCAGGTACAAACGGCACCCTTGGGGCTTGGGGTCTCACCTTTGGTTTGGAAATTGGCCAATTTTCTGAACCCATTAAAGTTTCCAGGCCAGGCACAATGGCTCATGCCTGTAATCCCAGCACTTTGGGAGGCAGAGGCAAGAGGATTGCCTGAGTTCAGGGGTTCGAGACCAGCCTGAGCTACATGGTGAGAACTTGTCTCTACAATAAATAAATAAAAAAAATTAGCCAGGTATGGTGGCACATGCCTGTGGTTCCAGCTACTTGGAAGGCTGAGGCAGAAGGATCATCTGACTGCAGTGGCCTTGAGCGTGCCACCGCACTCCAGCCTGGGTGACAGAGTGAGACTCTGACTCAAAATAAGTAAATAAATAAATAGTTCCCAGGCTGGGCGCAGTGGCTCACACCTGTAATCCCAGCACTTTGGAGGCAGAAACAAGAGGATTGCCTGAGCCTACAGGTTCGAGACCAGCCTGGGCAACTTGGTGAGACCTCATTTCTATAATAAATAAAAACATTAGCCGGGTGTGGTGTTGCATACCTATAGTTCCAGTTACTTGGAACTGACCCTAGCAGTTTGAGGCTGTGATGGCCATGAGTGTGCCACTGCACTCCAGCCTGGGTGACAGAGTGAGACCCCGACTCAAAAAAATAAAAATTTAAAAAGTTCCCTCCCCCACCCCCATTCTCCAGCCACAAAGTGTTATATCCCTGCTGTGGTAACGGAGTGCATAGGCACACACTTTGCCACCACGCAGGCCTAGAGACCCCTCATTCTGGGGCTAAGTGCAATGGGACCCAGGACAGCAGGGTCAACACAAAACACTTGTGTCCAAATGACCCAAGTCTGCTTCCTAGGAAACAAAGGGGACAGAGAGACAGGGCGGTCACCTTCTAGACAGTCACTGGGCTGGGCCACAGGCCCTCTCCCTGCCTCACCCAGTGGGCCCCCCTCACCCAGTGGGCCCCCCTCCCCACTCTCCCGGTGCTGCTTTGTCCTAAATGAAGAATGTGTAGAGAGGCTGACTTCTTACGCCTTCGTGGGACTGGCTGGGGCACACATGTGGCCAAAGGGACTCAGCCTGGGGACTCTGGATGCTCTCATCTAAAGCAAAAGTCCTTGAAAGCTCATTATGATAAACTGGCTGATAATTATAAAGCAAATCAGATCAGGCCTGGGCAGGAGCCGTCACTACAGTCCAATCTGTGGTTGATAATGACCAGGCAGCCAGTCACAAAATGGGGTGGCCCAGGTCTCTTCAGGCCATCCCTGAAGCTGGTGGGCAACTGCTGCCATCCCCAGACCCTGCATTCTGAGGAACAAGACACAAACGACGAGTGGAACTGCAAGTGTGATTAGGCTGTTCCCAGCCACACCTGCTTCCCACCCCGGCACTCTCTGGGCTTTGAGGTGCTAAGAGATAGTTCTGCCCTCACAACTTGGCAGGCCCCGGCTCTAATAAAGGGCCTCTCTGTGCCTGCCTTGACTTTGAGGTGTCCTTTTTCTGCAGCGGGCGTCATCCTACTCGTGAGCCATGGCTCCACGCTGGACTCCTGCACTCGGCCGCTCCTTGGGCTGCCACCCCGGGACTGCGCAGATTTTGCCCAGCTAGTAAGAAAGGTACGTGCCCTCTCTTGTCTCTTTGAGCCACAAAGTCAAGTACCCGGAAGACGTGTGACTATCACATCCCCTTCTCAGAATGAAAACAATTGTCTGGCCAGCCTGGAGTCGCAGGGACCCACATGCTACCTGAGTCTGTGTCCACCTGCACTTGTGCAAAGGGCACCCTCAGGTTGGGGCCAAAGGGGAGGTTTGTCATTTTTGTCATCATCAGTCACTTGCTGCCTCACAATGTGAAGAAAAAGATGCAGGATTTTCTAATGGTCTACTGACGTTATGACGTTATCATTCCTTACGATAGCTTCTCAGCCCTTCGGCTTAAGATCAAGTGTATAATTCCTTGCAGCTCTAGTCATAAAACAAACAGTCGAGTAAGGAGCAGGCAGCTTAGATGAGGAGGGTGGTCAACTGCTGGGCAGGCTTCTAGCTTTCTCTGGGGACCTGGGGGAGAGGGTAGCTGAAGGACGAAAAGGAGCCTCCCACCCTCTTGACTTCAGAGTCACCCAGCCATAAGACAAAACAGCTGTGGCTGCCAGAGGGCCTAGGTGCTGGCCTAGGTGCTGGCCTGGGTTCATGTGAATGACATACAAGATAATGTATAGAGAAGGGTCACAACACTGGACAACCTTGTTGGATAGCACCCAGCAAAGCAGAGGGTGATAGCCAGTCAATGGCAAACTCGGAGCTCAGACCCACCCCCTGCCCCTTCCCTGGAATCTGGAGAACTAGTCAGGCTGGGCTTACCCACAGTCTTTTTGTTTTTTTTTTTCTTTTTGTTTTTTTTTTTTTGAGTCAGGGTCTTGCTCTGCCACCCAGGCCGGAGTGCAGTGGCATGATTATGGCTCATCACAGCCTTGACCTCCTGGGCTCAGGCAAGCCTTCCACCTCAGCCTCCTGAGTAGCTGAGACTACAGGTTTTTTCTAAACTTGGTAGAGATTAGGTCTTGCTGTGTCACGAGACCTAACTCCTGGGCTCAAGCAATCTTCCTGCCTCAGCCTCCCAAAGTACTGGGATTACAAGTGTGCATCTCCATGCCCAGCTGGTCCTTATCTTTTTTATAAAATTAATCAACCACAAAGCTGGTGACGTAGTGGATTATAGACAACACCTGGGGTAGGAGGTGGCTCCCTGGCCTGGTTCCTTCACACAAAGCTGCCACAAGACTACGCTGGCCACAGCTTATTTGCCATAAGGTATGGGCAAGAGGGGGTGTCGCTGAGCCCCCCAAGGAGCCTGAAGGCTGCAGAGGAGCCCGACCATGGGCCCTGAGCCAACACCAGCAGTGTGCCTGCAGGCTTGGCTGTCTGAGCCCACAGGCCTTCCTCAGTGGCTAGGTGAGAATCAAAGAGCTTACACACATGGAAAGCGTTCCCAGCTGCAGTGTCTCGAGCATCAGAGAATATCCTTGAACATTGCCTTTTCTTGTAACATTTTCCTCTGGCCTCAGTAGCAATATGCTTTGTAATGTGGTAGTCCCCAATCTGACAGGGCTTACATGTAAAGCTCTTTATCCATTCCAAAGAAGTTACTAAGAGGTCTAGCAGGGAAAGACATTGGTTTATTAGAATTTACAGAAGGCCCAGTTGGCAGCCCGTCAGTGAAGAATCCACCCAGGAGGAGTACCAGTCTGTGAAGAAAGAGTACACACTGTGGGACAGTACAGCAAGCAGTTTTATCGTCAAGCAAGTTGATTATCCAACTTGCTACTAGGTGTTACAATCACACTGAGTAGGGGTATGGCACACGTTGTTCTTAGATCTGCTCAATTACCTGCACCTTGTGAATTTGAATCATTAGTGGAAATATGCATATCCTGCAAAGACCAACCTTGGCCAGAAGCTGCTCCTGGGGAAGGGGCAGAAGAAGCCAGGTATAGGGGGAAAGAGTCTATGTCCTGACAATTACCTCACATGCTTCTCCTGCAGAGTGTCTCCAAGGTGGTACTGCCCTGTTATGATCCAGATGTTCCTGAGTGCCCCAGGTCCCTGGTAGAACATTATCCAAATGAAATGGCTCAAGTCTCCCACCCCACACTGGAGCACACCCATATAGATTCTCCTGAGGACTCTCCCTGGCATCCCTAGTGCTACTGGCTCCCAAAATGTTGCTCCGGTGAACAACACTGCATCTTCCGCCCATGTGCTCTGATGCGCCCCTCCGGTCCCTGCACCCCTTCCCACAGCCCCATAACCATGCACTTAGCCCCCAACCTGGGCTCTTCTGGAGGTCCATGTACCTGATAAGAATGGCAGCGCTGCACACAGTAACCACCGACTGCTCCCGAAGCCTATTCTTCTCTGTGGCCAAAGTTCCCACTCAGAACTTTCAAATTCTTGGGACTTTCTTATGCTGATCATGTGGTGTCCACCACACAACAAGGTGGACTTGCTTGTGCATATCAGAACTTCATAGGTGGGCTCTGTTGAATGTTGGGCCCTCAAATCAGGGCAGCTGAAAAGGGAATACTCAGGACACTCCCCAGTCTGCCCTATCACACCCAGCCCCACAGCCTCTCCACACAACAGCAACAGCCTCCACTGGGACACTCCTGCACAATGGAAATTTTGTAAATTTTATCTGATCAGGCAATGTCTAGATATAACAAAGAGGAAGGAAAGAAAGAAAAGCAAAACACAAAAGACAAACAAAACAAGACTTAATAGCAAAGCTCTGTGCCAATTCATCCATGTTATAGATTAAGAAATCAGGGTCTAAAGCTTCAATTTGTTCTCTTTTCTTTCTTTCTTTCTTCCTAATAGAGATGGGATTTCTCTGTGAGTCAGGCTGGAGTACAGTGGTGCAATCATGGCTCACTGTAGCCTTGAACTCCCAGGCTCAAGCGATCCTCTTGCCTCAGCCTTCCAATAGCTGGGACTACAGGCACATGCTTCCACATCTGGCTAATTTCTTTTGAAGAGATGGGTTCTCACTGTATTGCCCAGGCTAGTCTTGAACTCATGGCCTCAAACAATTCTTCCACCACAGCCTCTCAAAGCACTGGGATTACAGGTGTGAGCCACTGTGCCTGGCCTATACTTTTTTCTTGGGACTATACCTGTATCTTTTTGTGATGCTGAATTCGAGAACATAAGCCACCCTGTAAGTAGTGGACCAGAGAGCCTCCACCTTGGTTCTACAGACACTTGCAATAGGTGCTGCCCTGCAGGATGCAGCTCCCTGACCTCTGCCTGCACCTCCACCCCCAGTGTGAGAAACAGAAATGCCTCCAGAATTACCCAGTGTCCCTTGGTTGGAGAGAGGGCATAAGTTGCCCACTGAGAACCGCTATGGTAGATATTGACTTGTTTTGAAGGTAGCAGGCAGCAATGCCAGCAGGGGGAATCGTGCCACCCTCAAGGCAAAGGACTGCCCATCAGCGGCTTTAGAGCTAGTCTAAAATTGACCGACTCATTGTAAATTATGAATAAGTGACTTAAAACTCTGTTCCAGATCCCTTCTCTGGGTATGTGCTTCTGTGAAGAAAATAAAGAGGAGGGAAAATGGGAGTTGGTGAACCCACCCGTGAAGACCCTGACTCATGGGGCAAACTCAGCATTCAACTGGAAGAATTGCATCCTGGGCCACTGAGAGCCACCATGTGTATCCCCTAACTTCATAGTGAAAAGGTGAAAGCAATGTAAAGGTCAAAAGATACTGTTACTTTGAAGATGTCTTAGTCTCACCTAATGTGATTAGTAGAAGCACAAAATGCACTTTTATATTCTGGAATATTTGCCACCTGCTTTTGCCCTTGTAACCCTCATCTGTGATCCTGTGAGAGCAGGCCACATGGCTGGGTTGGGACAGCCCCTGCTACACGTGCACCCAGTGTCTACAGCAGGAGAGGTAGAGCCTGGCTGGGGGAAAGTGATAACCTGGGACTCTGATTTCCAGGAATTAAAGACTCACCACACACACACTTACAAGGCATGTAGCCACTTTATTTTATATGTCCAAATAAGTCAGGTTCCCCATCATTTTTCCTTTTTCTTTTTCAATCCTTCTTTAACCATGTCCACACAGGCCAATGCAGGTGTAATATTCGATTAAACGACCCAAGAAAACCATCTACTGGTGTTAGATCCTTGGCATTACTTTTCTATTGCTGTTATAATAAATTACCACAAATTTGGTGGTAATTGAAAGCAACATAAATTTTTTTTTTTTTTTTTTGAGTTGGAGTCTCACTCTGTCGCCCAGACTGGAGTGCAGTGGCCGCTCCCGGCCACCGCAGCCTCGACCAGCTGGGCTCTGGCCATCCTTCTGCCTCAGCCTTCCAAGTAGCTGGAACTACAGGCGTGTACTACCACGCCTGGCTAATTTTTTGTTTTTGATTTATTGTAGAGATGAAGTCTCGCCAAGTTGCCCAGGCGGGTCTCGAACACGCGGGTTCAGCAACATAAATTTTTTAACACACAAACGCTTATTCTCTTACAGTTCCAAAGGTTAGAATTTAGTGGGTGGGTATAATGCGGTAACCCCAAATATGAGAGGGCTTGCGGTTAATATTAACTCATTCCAAAGTCACCCAGAGGCCCAGCAGAAAAAGACACCAGTTTATTAAAACTCACGGGAGTCACCGATGGCAGCCAGCAAGCAGTGTTATGATCAAGCAAGTTAATTATTCAAATTGCTACACAGTGTTCACAATTAAGAGTGTTGCCTACATTACCATCAGCTTTGCTTAATCACCTGCATCCCCTGACTCATTACTGGGAATACGCATATCCTTCAGAGACCAGCCTTGGCCCGAGGTTGCTCTCTGAGGGAGGGGGCAGAAAAAAGCCAGGTATAGGGGGAAAGAGTCTGTGTCCTCACAGTGGCTATGTTCCTTCTGGAGACTCTAGGGGAGGATCCTTTTCCTGGCCTTTTTCAGTTTTTAGAGACTGCCTGTATCCCCATCTACAACTGTGGCCTCTTCCTCCATCCTCAGGGACAAAAGCTCAGCAGCCTCCACACGCTTTCTGGCCTCTGCCTCTGCTGTCACATTGTCTTCTGCCTCTGACCCACCTGCTTCCCTCTTACAAGAACCCTCTTGATAACATTGGGCCCACCCCAATAATCCAGGATAATTCCTCATCTCAAAGTTCTTAACTTATCCACACCTGCAAAATCCCTTTTGCCACATAAGGTAACATATTCCCAGGTCCTGGGAAATAGGATGTGGACATTGTTGGCGGCCCTTTTTTCAGCCTGCCATACCCCCATCCTTCCAAGCACATCAGGGCTGCTCATGTAGAATCCTGGGTGTAAGGATTTGAGATGCTCCCCTTGTCACAGGTCTTTTTTGGCTTCTTGCTTCTGATCAAGTGGAGGGAGGAGGGGATTTTGCAAAAGGCAGGAGTGAGCACCCCATACTTAATGAGTAACCAGAAGGGCTACCAGCAAAGTGGAATCGACCCATGATGGTGACTTTTAGGAAGCTGGTCCAGCCATCAATGGGGTCTCCCCAGTGGTGTCCTCCCATCCCCCTGTCCCCTAGCACTTGCCCCCACAGCTGTGTGTGGGGTGCCTCATCCGGCAGGCAGAGATCCCACCATGGTGCAGTGAAAATCGATCAGCCTCCCATTCCAATTCAGATATGATTTCACTATTGCAGTGTGGGACTGTGGCTGGATTCTGTCTTTTATAGAACAAAACAGCACATACCCTGCCTATGAATGAGTTCCAATCCAAGAGCACATTCATAGTCCAATTTGTTCGTAAGTACGGCAAAGTGAGCCTAGGTACCCAACTAACACAATCAGCTATATAATACCAGCTACATCACCGCTGCTTTTTCTCTTGCTTCTGGACATCCTGGACTTGACATAAAGATACTGTACTACTGTGCTCTATACAGTACTGTACAGTAAAGTACACAAAAACACAACCACTTGTAGAGGATGCATGCATGTGACACCAGACATGTGAACTAACTTGTGTGATTGGACATGCGAACACACTTTCCCGTCTCTGAAAGTTCACAACTTGAGGGTTTGTATGTAGGGGACTTACTGTACAGGAAAGCCCAGTACTCCGTGTTCGCCATTCCTGATGGTGACCAGGCAAGCTGGGGAGAAAAACATGAGGGGAGCTCTTGCAGAAGGAAAGCTCAGAGGTAACCAGCCCATGTGAACCCAGCAAAAGGCTCCTCACGGGTATAGCCATGCACTGTCTCCTGAGAGAAAGACATATTTGTTCGTCCCTTGTTTTGTTTTACTAGTGATGTAATTGCCCTGTATCCATACATAAAGAAGAACAGATGATTGGGAAACAGATGGATTTGTTGGGATGGGGGTGGGCAGGTGGACAGTACTTCCTGCGATGAATATGCCCAACTCTGGGCACTTAACAGCTTGCTCCATCTTTTCAGCTTGTATGTGTTCAGGTGGCATCCTCCCTCTGTGTTCTCTCCTGTATACCCCAGGGTCGCACTTGCTAATCATGAGAATGAGTTTAAATTTTGCAAAACAAGGGAACGGAAGTTAAACAGTGGTCACTTATTCAGTCTGTAAAGTGTCTCTGGATTTACCTTCTCAGGGATGAGGTTTTGGATCTCACACCCTTGGTACGTCTTGCAAAATGAGACAGGTTTGAATTTCGTATCTCAAAGTCTAGTGTGTAAGAAACACTGTTTTCTTTATATTTTATTTTTCTGGTTCTGCCTAGACCCCCTTCCATTGCAATAGCAGAAAATCCCAGTTCTGTCACTAGTAGTTTCCAGAATAAACCACCCATTATAAGGAGTGAACCATGGGGGACCAGAGGTGCTGGAGAAGTTCAGAGAAGAAAGTGCCTTGTGGAAGTTTGTCATGATTAGGTGTACGTTTTCAAATCTATGAACTAATAAGAAAAAAAGAAACGGGGAAAAAAGGCTCCTTGGAGGCATGTATTCTTCTTCAGTGTTTATGAGGCGAGTCTGACCCCTGCTGACATCATCTGGGAATGGATGGCCTGTCACCATGGCTGCCCCAACCCACGCCCCTACCCATAGTGTCTTGTTGACTTCCTGACTTGTGTGCTTAATGAAAACAAGCCTGAAATGGAACTCTGCTTCTTGTTTTGTTTGCATCCCCTGAGGCTGAGCAGATGCTAATGTTGTTTTGGTGAACCTTGTAACCTAATGCCCCCCCCCAACTTTGCTGTTGGAAAAGACAGAAAGGGGTGAGAAACTGAAGGAGGAGTGTCCTCCAGCTGAGCAACAAAGGAACTAACACCTGAACCAGTGCTTGTCTCAAGGCTGCAAGCTGTGAGGGTGCAGAGTTTAGGAGCAGGCCTGGGGCCCGGGAGCCAGGCCACAGCCCAGCAAATACTCCAGCTGTATTCATCTGAGAAGAGCCCTCAGCGTTTTCCACCAAAGCAAGTTTTATTTAGAACCAAATTTGAGATTTTTTTAAAAAGATATGATTTATATTGGTGCGTGTTATGGGCTAAATTGTGTGTCTCCCCTCCAATTCAACCAGCAGACAATTCTGCAGAGGTCAGGAAAAGGAAAATGATGGTATCAAGTGGACAGTCAAAAAGTCCGAGAGGTCTCCGGGTCCCCCGGAATGCCTGGGGAGGAATTTAGGGGCTGGATTACCTATGGAACCTGGGCTTTCCACCCACCAAATATGCTAGAGACCTAACCCCAATAGCTCAGAATGTGACTGTATTTGGAGATAGGGTCTTTACAGAGGCAATTAAGGTAAAATGAGGTCACAAGGGTGATTCCTGACCCCATCTGACTGGTGTCCTTGTAAGAAGAGAAGATGAGGACACAGACATACACAGAGGATGACCTTTTGAGAACACAGGGAGGAGACTCCATCTACACACCAAGGAGAGAGGCCTCAGAGGAGCAAGTCCTCCCACACCTTGATGTTGGACTTCCACCCTTCAGGATGAGAGACAATGTATTCCTCGTTTATACTGTCTGGTCTGTGTACTTTGTTATGGCCACCACAGGAAACTAGTCAAGTGCATAAAAATCGTTTGTATAAACATTTTTTTAATTTACATTTTATTTTAAAGATGTGTGGTACAATTCAAGATGAAGTATCCAACTGGACAGAATACAGGTAAAGTTTGGGCCATCCTTTGGTCCCCATTTTGCCTGGTTTGAGATCTGGTACCCTTATTGATGTGTGTCTCTGTAGTGGGAAGACAGAGAGATTGTGACACCGAGACTATTATAGGAAGTGGCACTTTACTAACGCTGGCTGTACCAGTGGGCTCAAGGGGCTAATGCGTCCAAATCGAGCCCCGCAGAATGGGAGAAGCAGGGTCTTATACCTTCGTTTAGGTAAGGGACGGGGGTTGTGTTGAGCGATTACACATTTCCTTTGGAATTTACAAGGTGGTGTTCAGAAAAATCAGGTCTTTCTTTTTTTTTTTTGAGTTGGAGTCTCACTCTGTCGCCCAGACTAGAGTGCTGTGGCTACTCCCGGCCACCACAGCCTCGACCTGCTGGGCTCCAGCAATCCTTCCACCTCAGCCTTCCAAGTAGCTGGAACTACAGGTGCATGCTGTCACGCCTTGCTAGCTTTTAATTTATTGTAGAGATGAGGTCTCGCCAAGTTGCCCAGGCGGGTCTCGAACCTGCGTGCTCAGGCAATCCACTCACC